ACCAATTCAAATACAGTTTTGATGCTCAGGTCTTTCAGCTGGCAGGCCCATGGTAGGAAGAGGAGAGTAAGTGTGGTTTGTTGTGTTTTGAATCCACCTAACACAAGGCAATTTTGTAATTTTGTGCCCGAGCTGTGGCTGATTTATCAGCAGTTAGGATACACAGTCTGAGATTTCCAGTGTTTGGCAGCCTGGGCTGCTATGTATTCAGAAATCCGTAGGCAGCTCTTAGAGCCCCGAGGCAAAGGGTGGCAGGGCTGATGTCTACAAAGAAGCATGTGGGCCTGCAGGTGCCTGGTGCTCACCTGCTTTCTGTGGGCTTGAGCTGCTTTTCATCCTAGCCCACTTGTCCCTTGTTGATCCCTGTGGGGTTTGGAACAGAGCCTTTATCAGGCTGTGGAAGTACCACACTTGGAGATTCAGATTTAAGAGATTCTGTTTTCCTGGGCTGATGTGTTCACAAACAAAGTTTTACTAAATGAAATGCACAGGTGAACCCTAAACACTTATTTATGGAAATAACTTCATGTTTAGCTCAGAGTTGGTACAGTAGGATTATATTATATGAATGAGGCTGCCCACTCAGCAGGCACAAGGATTTGTGAGGTCATTGTTTAAACTAGAGAGGGGGTAAGTGAATTCCAAAAGGTCAATTACATATAATTAATAATATAAATATGGATTTTGTTTTCAGTGGGTTTATACCAAGGTAAATTTCGATTCCATGTTTTTTAAGCCTATACTAAACTTCTCACTGTTTTGCTAGAGGTAGATTTTAGGACAAAGTTCAGCTAAGGGCTCAAACCGAGACGATGAGGTAATTCAGAGACACATCCACATTTCAGGATTTTATCCAAACCAAACCTGAACTCCTAACTCTTTTTCAGTTCTCTTACTGGGGGGAGGGAAGAAAGGAGACTGTGAACTGCAGAAAAAAAAAAAAAAAAAAAGGAAAAAAAGACAGAGTTATTAGTTCGTCTTTTTACAATCTAATTTCTTGCAGATCTTACAAATCCTGAATGGGGGTATTTGCTATGAAAGATCAGTGTCAAAAGCAGTGAAAACTAATCATGGCAGCACAGGCTTATGGAATTTCTCAGACAAATGCACCAGTCAAGTCTCCCAGGACATTGCCTTCTTTGTAACCCAGTTAGATGATACAAAAATATTCCAAACATTAGACTGGTGAATAGAAATTAATATATTATGTTTCCATTTTCAGATACAAAATATCCAAATGCTATCAGCATTACTTTCAAAATGGAAAAACTTGATGTATTTTTAGAACTGTAAAACAGTTGTTGCAAAGGCACTTTGTCTATACAGATCTAGTGGTCCATATAGAATGAAAAAGAGGGGTTTTATAAAAGCTAATAAATACAACACGTTACCCCTATTTCCTGGTGTCTTGCAGCTGTAAGAGAGAGCAATTTGTAAAGTGCAGCTGGCTACAGCAGGGAAAGCTCTGAGCTGTGAAAGCAAGCTAACCATCTGAGGGAACGATGTGGGCTCAGAAACAAGATGAAGAACTTTGATGAAATCCACAGGAAATCACTAGTTATGGTAGTCACAAAAATAACAAACCAGAATGCTCGCCCTGTCACTTGGTGCAGAGAGGGCTAATGCTGTCATGATGCTGAGCTGTGTAGTCACACAGTGTCAGCTGTGCATATGCATGGAGATGTGTGCTGCTCTGTACCTAAGTGCTGAAATGCAGAGCTGCTTTCAGATGTGTTTTGTTCAGAGATATTTACAAACAAATGAGATAGTTTTTGGATGCTTCAGGAGTATTTCTTTAGTCGAAAGTACCGCTGCACAAATACTTGGAGCAGTTTGTTTTGTTTCGACTGATGCTGTTCTGTGTTCTGTAATAAATCGATTTTAACTAATCCATCTTTTGTTCTCATTTATGAAAAAGCAGCTATGATGGCTTAGGGTAGCAAATTAAATGGCACCAACCCTACTGGATGGTATAAAGCTGAGCTTCTTTACAAAGAAGTAGAATCGTAGCCCAGCGACTGTGGTAATACCTAATATCCATCTGGTATTGTCCACAAACAGCTATTTTTAGGGCTGTTACTCAGAATGTGAGAAGCTCGCTGGGCCTTAAATGCTCCAGAGTATGACTCTTTGCTGTGCTAAACATCAAAAACCATGTTTATGGAGGCAAGCTCTGTGTTTACAGTGGTGGCGTGTGGGAGTCCCACTTTAGAGGAAAAAGGAAGCAAAGATTGCTCAGTTATCTGGTGCAGAGCTTTGGCAAGAACATCCTCTATTCATGGAATAGCCTTCATTAAAAAGTCCCAGAGTGTTTTTTAGCATTCAAAACCAGTTAAAAGCAGAATCAACCATTAGCTGCTACAGCTTTAGTTTAAAGTAGTTCCAGATTTTGACAAGAAGCTGCCGGCTAATTATTTATCAAATGAACTGGCTCCAGTCAGAACATGGACGTGGTTACACTCTATATCAGCTGCGCTGTGTAAAGGTTTAATGCAAAATAGGGTGAAGTAAGCAGAAAGACTCCACTCAGCTTCAGTGGGTTTTAGGCTAGGCCTCAGGAGTATAAGATGAAGGAAATGAGAAATGTACGTTACAAACAGCACTATAAATGACAAAGCACTAATCTGCTTCTCTTCTCCATCTGTGTCTTTCGAGCTGACAATTAGAAGCCTTTGAATTTCTGTTGACAGCTTGCTTTTCCCAAGTGTTTTTGGTCTGGTATAGAACTCAAATTTCAGTAACTTCTTACGGTAGTGGATATTATTTTAAGACTCGTTCACAGAAATTGAATCCAAATTCAAGGAGGAAGATTACAGGTTGTCTTTTCACAGGGAACTTTTGGGCTGGAGGGAGGTTACAAATGCAGTTTTGCCTTGTGACCAGTTCTGTTTAGTACTTCAGCTAAATGCGTTTGCTAAATATCTTGCAAGCAGAGATTTGCTGATGATGCAAGAGTGGCATCATTAACGCGGAGCAGGAAGACTGAATTTGGGTGAATCGGGGGGGGGGAAGCTGAAGCGTGGTGGCAGACAGGGACAGCCACTGTCCGAAAGGGCCTGGAGAACTTCTGTGGTAAGCTGTAAGCACATCAATGGGGGCCACCAAGAGGCGCAGGGGGCCCGGCAGGCAGGCTGTTTGCTGAAAGCCCTTTTGAGCTACCAGGTCAGAGCGGCCACGAAAAAGACCAGCGTGATCCTGTGACACACTAGGTCAAGTATTTCCTGTGCAGAGATGGAGGGCCTTGTCCGCGGCCCGGGGGAGATCTCCGTAGGGCTGCGCCGCGCCACCCACGCCCCGGAAAGGTGAACCGAAAGTGGCGCAGTCGGAGAGGAGGGCTGCGGCGGCCGCGGGAAGACCCAGGGCGCTCCCTGCGGTACAGCGGGGAGGGCGGAGGAGCTGTCGAAACTCGAGGCTGGCGCTGGCACAACAGAGAGCGGGTACGAGCTGGCGGGGAACCAAGTTTTGGCACGACCGGAGGCGGCGGGGGCTGGCGAGGCGAGGGCGGCAGCGGCAGGGCGCCAGCT